CTCTCCACTCTTGATCACCCCCCTTTCATTTTGTCCTTGACTCCTATTACTTCCCTTTCTTCCCTTCTCCCTCGCTTCTTCACTCCTTTTTTCTTTCCTTCTCTCTCTCACCACTTTAAACAAGTTATTACCCACACTCCCCCCTCCACGTCCTCCGCCCCTTCTTCTTTCTTCCGCATAAGTCACCATAGTTTCACCTATTTTTTATTCCAATACTACTATATTCATCGCGAAAATGCGCTCTTGTGCCACCCTACCCTTTCTTCTTGTTCGTATGTCTCCCCTCCTTCCTATTTGGGGGTGGAGGTCGAGGAGGTGGATGTGGTGGATGAGTTGGAGGAGGAGGAAGGAGAGGAGGAGGAGAAGGAAGGGGAGGAGGAGGAGAAGGAAGGGGAGGAGGAGGAGAAAGAGGAGAAGGAAGGGGAGGGGAAGGAAGGGGAGGGGAAGGAGAAAAGGGAGGATGAAGGGGAGGAGAAGGGAGAGCAAGGAGGAAGTGGGGAGGAGAGAAGTAGCAGTGTTGCCACCTGCTTTGCTGGAACACAGCCACTGTGTAAAGCTAGATACAAAGGTGTCTCTGGACTTTGGCCTCCGTTTTTGGTTGTTTTGTTTTGTTTTGTTTTGTTTTTCAGGAAGAAGATGGGAGGTGTCTCTTCAAAGAAGCTAAGAGATTGAGGTCAAACCCTGTCTCAGTTGGGAAAGGGGCACCTGCTGGAGCCCACATGTCTTCAGCTACTCTCGATAGTTTAGAGCAAGCATGTCAACCTCCTGCATGCGGCCCACAATGAATATTTTTGCAGCCCGATATAACGGTATGTAAGAAATGTTTTAATAAAAATATCATAACTTAATTTTTACAATATCCTGTTACACATAATTATTAATAATGAACTACAACATTCACTAATGACTGATTACTATAATCATGTTGCATTCATTTCCCTTATGCACCTTACGCACAGGTGCACCATTTCTCTCCACTAATACTAGCAGCGAATATTTTAGCAGCCGACTGCCACTCATTAGTCATGTACTGGCTTGCTTGGTGTGCGCAACAGGAAATATTTCGCTTTCGGAGAACAAGAAAAATAGGTTTATTTGCATTACGCCTATTAATTTGTGCAGTTATTCAGTGTCTGGTAAGTTAATGTTCAAGAAAAAATATTAATTTTTATTAAAATGGTCTATTATGTTAACGATGACTCATTTATTTCAGCCCTTTGTATTCAGCATGTCTCTATCGAAATAAACCTACATGTCTATGAAACTAAAGCTTCTGTTTTTTGTGGCCCACATAAACGTAAACTTTTTGTATTTGGCCCATGTTAGCCTTTGAGTTTGACTTGCTTGGGTCAGAGCCTCAGCACCCTCCCTCCTCTGGCAATGCCTCCCCCAGAGGTAGGCTTACCATGGGCCTTGGCCTTGTCCAGTGCAGCCGTCAGCAGGAAGTTCACAATGTCCCCCGGGGCCACATCCTCTGCGCTCACCAGGACTATGGCACCGCCTGCCGCCTTCATGGCCACGCGGGCACCACCAGCCCCCTGGCTGGCCAGTTGGTAGGGGCCCTTACCTAGTGCTGGAGAGAAAGGGCCAGTCAGGAGGCCTGCCTCCTGGGGCCTGTGCCCACCTCCCGTCCCTACCTGCCCACCCCTACCAGAGGTGGGGCTGAGGGAGGGTGCCAAGGAGGGGCTGTTGGTCCCTTCCCTCACCCCAAGCTCTAGGGACCTTGATTTCCATGAGAAGGAAGGACAGGAACTTGAGGCTGTCACCCTTGATGGGGACTGGCATAGCGCCTGAGTAATTTCACGGGAAGCCTGGGAACAAGGTCACCCACAGGGGTCATAAGGAGACCCCAAAAGTCTTTCCATGGGCCTCTCCATGAGACTCTACACCGCCAGCCACTGCTCTATTCAGAGTCCTCATTGGGAGGAGACAGCAGACCTGGTCTCTGCCCAGCCCAGCCTGAGGGATGAAGGCCAGGAGCTTGGGTTCACACTAGTGTTTCCTTATTCCCAGCATGTGCCACTTTTGTGTCTAGTGGGGTCCTGCACTGTCAGTATAGGCTGTTTCCTAGATACTTATAACCGCCTTGTAAGTGACCTCCCTGCCTCTGGTGTGTTCCCACCTCCAGGGCCTCCTCCCCAAGTGTCTGAGTCACCTTCCTAACACTCCATGCTGGGACTCATCAGTAGCTCCCATTGCCCTCAGGAGAGAGTCCAAGAGCCCAGCTTGAATTCGGGGGCCTTTCGTGCCCAGCCCCTGCCTACCCCCCACCTCCCCACACCTTTGCCCCTGCCACACTAAGCTTCCCTTGTTGTTCCTTGAAAGAGCCTGCTGTGCCCGGCCTCGGCCTCCTGTCTCCACTCATGCTGCCCCCTCCCGGCCCCTCAGCGTAGTCCTCCCATTCTGTGCCTGGCAAACGCCTCCTCATCTCTGGGGCCCAGCTCAAATGTCACCTCTGCAGTGAAGCTCTCCCTGCACCCCTCCTGCCACACACAAGCATCAGCCCTCCCGCTGGGCTCCAGCAGCCCTTGGGGCAGGACACAGCTATCACGGCTCTTATGAGGGATCTCAGTCGGGGGTCCCTGTGTGTCTCCTCTCCTACATGGGAGACAGGCAGCGCTGTGCCTGCCCATAGTCCATAATCAGCCCTCAAACACAAAACCCCAAAGTGTAGTGTTTGCTGATTTCCACGCTGTGAACACTCCCACCAGCGGTCAGTTTCAAACTACCAACTGAATGCGGAGTTGGGAACACACAGTTGGTTCTAGAGAGCTGGTGTGGGACAGCTCAGCCAGTGCCCCCCCCCCACCCCCCGCCCCCGCCATGATAGCTCTCGTTGGCCATCGACTCCCCAGCACCCGGCAAGGGCCTGGGCCAGAGAAAGTGTGGGAGAAAAGCAGAGCGAGGAATGGACGGGTGGGTGGGTGGGGAGGTGGAGGATGCTAGAAACAGCCTGTCCTTTGCCAGTCACTGCTACCCAAAATGCCACAGAAGGCAGAAACTCTGCTCAGAGCTGTCTTGCTGAAATGTCTTGCCTGATGTCAGACAGACACCGCCTGTCCAGGGACCACAGTTCTCCCATCACAGATTTATCCCTTTAGGGCTTAAAGGTGCCTGTCCGTCAGGAGCCCCGAGGCGCTAACACATAAGTGGGACCGCAGTCCCTGTGAATGACGCTGTACCCTGGCCCAGTCCTCATCATTCAGACCCCTAACTGGTATCTGCCAAGGTCTGACCCTGGCCCAGCTGGACAGAGATCCGTGCCAGAAACTACTCCTGGGCAGCCCTCCTCTCACTGCCCACTGACCCCAGTGATTAAATTGACTAATTGTCTCTAACGCTGGACATTAGCCTCCCTGGGGTCTTCACTTTAGTTATGACCTGCGTTTTCACTCTGATTAATGCAGGGGAGGGAGCGTATTCTGGGACCCTACAACCCTGGCTAAATTTGATGACGAATCTGAGGGGCTGAGCCAGGCCATCATGGGGAGAGCAGTTTGCATTTGCCGTTGCCAACTTAAAACTTTGGTAAACCCCAGACAGTGTCCCATGGGCCTGATGAGCTAGATTAGGAGGGTCGTGGGGTGGCCCACTGGTTTTTACTTCCTGGTGGAGCTGCCCTAATGAGCACAATCCCCAGGAAGCTGGCCTGGCCTGGGCTCCATATAAGCTTCTGGGGACAGAGTTCTGGGGCATCCCTGGGCCCTGCACTGTCCGGGTTCTCTCTGCATGACAGGGTCCCTCCCTGCCCCATGTCACAGCTCTTCCAGGGCCAGCAGGGCCCTGCCGCTGCTGTGGCATCAGGTCAGGGCTGGCAGTGCCCTGGCCCCGAGGTTCCACTTGGGGAGGACGGGCTTACCTTTGTTAAAGAAGTCACAGTCGTATGCTGAAAGGGAGAGAACAGCCTTCTTAGGAAGCTGGAACAGATGGGCAGAGCCAGGGCCCCAGCATCCCAGCTCTTCCTCCTTCCCCAAGGGGCGGACCTGGCCTGCCTCCCAAACTCCAAGATTCAGGCATGGCATTATGTTCAGATATCTTTGAGCTGTAGGAAATACAGTGGCTCCTCTCTGTGCCCCCCACACAACGCTCAAAGCCGGCCCAGAGGAGGCACTGAGCGTTTATCGAAAGAAAAGAAAGAAAGAAGAAAGAAACAAAGAGAGAGAGAAAGAAAGGAAGGAAGGAAGGAAGGAAGGAAGGAAGGAAGGAAGGAAGGAAGGAAGGAAGAAAGAAAGAAAGAAAGAAAGAAAGAAAGAAAGAAAGAAAGAAAGAAAGAAAGTAAGTTAGGAAGAAGGGTCTGTTTTGTGTGTCCCCAAAGGGCAAGATTAGAATCAAGGGGTGGGAGTTCCAATCGGAAATGTCGCGGAAGGTCCCAGAGGAAAGCAAGCACAGATAGAAGTCAGTCTGTCAAGAACCTTGGATGGAAAGGGACCAGGTGAGTCCAAGATCCAGGATCCCCGGGTGCAGTTTCCACCAGGCTGTCACAAGCTCCTCTAAGCGTGTGCTCAGCGCGCCCTCTAGTGGCCCAGCCTTGCAACACAGCCTTTTCCCCGGGCTCCTCAGCCACAGTCCTCAGTGGTTTGGGGTAAGCTGGGGACCTTGAAAAGGGCGCCTAAATCCAGGAGCAAGGCTATGAGGAGCCAGTTGGGTAGACCTGGGATAAGTGAGGAGGGGCTTCTCCATTCATAGGTGTGATCTGAAGAGAGCCACCAACACCACCCCACAGCCCAAACCCCCTAATCAACACTACTGCTTTGCAGGGGTCAGAAGACTGATCTGCTGTACTGCTATGGGCAAGTACCTGCCTCTCCTCACCTGTGGATCAGAAAACTGAACTAGAAAATTAGAAGATCTCTGAGCCTCTGGTTTCAGGTGTGTACTAGGTTCATGGCAGGTCACCCAGGATTGTCAAGAGCCAGGCCCCTAAAGTCAGGCCTGGGTTAACCCCATCTCTCTCACTGGTCAGCTGTGCACACTGGCACTAGTCACTTAGTGCCCTTCTCTCTAAGATGGGACCACAGCTAGAATCTGCCCCATAGACTGGTGATGCCTGGACTAGGGTAAGGCAAGGGCTCACCTCGGTGCAAAATTTAAGGAGGCATCAAAAATCTCAGTAACCAATTTCTATTTATGTCCATCAACATTTTTTAAATTTCAAAATTAATGCAAAATACCTAGGATGAATAAAATATCAAAATTTAAAAATAAAGATAGGATGAGTGACAGCACCTCGCTGAGTGATACTGGAGCCCGAGACAAAAGGAAAAAATCAATAATACTAATCCTGTCATTCTTTAAAATGTTGGTATTTTGTTCATCAAAGTTATTTTTACATTCGTTTTGATTTGTAAAATATACTGTCAACATATGACCTATGTTGTGCCCCACCGAGTGCCTCGCCCCAGCCCTGCGCCTGCGGATTAGCGAGTTAACGCACAGAAGGCACAGGGCCTGGCGCACAGCAGATCCTTGTCAATGTGGGTCCCCTTCTCCTTCCTGGAGGATTGTATCAGAGAAGGAGAGGGAGCAGCAGACAGCAGGAGGACCCAGGGCACTGGTGGTAGAAGGGTCTCAGGGGAAAACAGGCAGAAAAAAGGGAAGCCAAAGGCCGCTTCTGCTCCCCCTCCTTCCTGAGGTCATCCTGCCCGGAGCCCCAGGGCTCAGGACATGCCAGCACCCACGTCGCCATGACATATGACAGCAATAGCTAGAGCATCGTGCCGAGTGCTTTACACTACATTTAAACCTCACAGCACCCTGCAAGGTAGGTACAGTTCTCCGAACCCTCGATTACAGCTCAATGCAAGCAATGTGCCCAGGCCACCCTGCTTGATGGAGCTTGAGTCCCAGAGGGTTCAGCCCCAAGGCCTGTGTAATAACCATAGCACCGCAAAGTGAGGCCTGCTTGCACCAGGAAGATCACTGCTATGCAGAAGGAAATAATCAATAATTAATCATTTAAATTTCTATATATTTTTTCATTTTAAAAATATTTACTTTTTTATCTATTTCGTGATATACATTTATGCTGATAATATACACATGTATGTGTACCTGTGTATGCATATGTGTGTGTGTTCAAAATATTTTTACTTGATAAGAGTGTGCAACCAAAAGTGTTTGCAAACCACAAGGCCCTAGGTATACTGATGTCTTGGGCTGCCTCCGACAGCAGGTCTCAGCTGACAAAGGGCTTTTACATTCACTATCCCATTTGACCCTCACAATAAACCTGGTGGGACAAGTCTATTCTTTTTCAGACGAGAACACTGAGCCCCAGGGAGGTTGGGGCTTGTTTGAGGTCACACAGCTCTGGGTCTGGAATCCAGGACTCCTGGCTCCTCTAGCACAGTGGTTAAGAGCACAGGTTACAGCCAGGCCACACTGGGTGAACTTGAGCATCTAATTTAATCTCTCTCTCTAACCTGTTTCTTCAACTCTAAAACAGGAATAAGCAGTCCTCTTCATAGGGTAGTTGGTAAAGAATCTATACTAATCAAAGCATAGCATAACATGCGAATTAGACCAAACAGCCGGACGACCTTCTGGACGAAGCCAGGGCTGCGAGGGCTGAGCCCCTTGCACGATTTTTGTGCATTAGGCCTCTAGATAATGAATGATACACACAGAGCAGTTGGTGCCTGGCACAGAATACGTACTCAATGAATGCTAGACAGAGTGATGGTCCCCCCAGGCCTGCCCACAGAGGGCCCCACTCGCCCCCTCAGGGGATTGGACACTCACGGCAGAGACGCGGGGTCCGCCAGTCGATGGCCACCCCGTGCTGGCAGCACTGGTGGGCATAGGCGGACACGCTGGCACAGAAGCACTCACAGTCACCGCCCCGGCTACACCCACATGTGTCCGTCAGGCAGTTTGAGTAAAACCAGGTGACATCAACCTAGAGGAGGTCAGAAGTCAGAGGTCAGAGGACCGACCCTGAATGTTTGCCTGGAAGCTTCTCAGTTGATGCCAATCAGACTCAGGGAGCAGCAGAAACACGAAGGGACCACAGGATGGTGTGAGCTGCCATGCAGGCAGGGTCAGGGCCTAAGCCATTGGATCCCGGGGCTGGAGGTGGGGCTGAGGAGCAGACATGGGCATGAACTGCCAGCCTGGGCCAGAGACAGCTGCCTTGGGGGCCTGGAGGCTGCGGAGCAGAGCTGAGCCCCAGCTCTCCTCTGTCTCCACTTGTGATGCCACAGCAGGAGGGTGTGGGGTCATTGTTCAGAAGAACTTCCTGCCCCGGGGGACAGCCAGGTGGAGATAGGCTGGAAAGGGCACAGCTCTGTTTGTCCTGCTGTCTGTCCTGGGTTGTCTGGAGAAACAGGCCAGACTATTTTATCTGACCTGGAGGCAAGGGAACGGCAGCGGTGGGTCTCCCCTCTAGGCCTGAGGTGTCTCTCCCGAGGCCTGACGGGGGTTGGGGTCTGAGAGCAGGAGGGACCCGAGGAGAAAGGTGGGGTCAGGAGTGGCCTTGGCTGGGGCCCACTCACCACAGGGTGGCAGGTCTCAAACACCTCGCTGAGCAGGATGCTGCACTCCTTCTTGGCGAACGGTTCTCGGAGAGGATTCAGGACACACGTGTCCCGGGCATCGAGGGTGTCTGGGCACTGAGGGCAAAGGCAGGGCTGTGGACCTCCCTACCCCCAAACGCCAGTTGCCAGATGTGGTCAGACAGACTCTTAGAGTGACCCCCTGATCCCACCTCCTGGGGTTCGTGTCCTTGTATAACCCCCTCCCCACGAGAGTGGGAGGGGCCTAGAACGCGCTTTACACCAACAGAAGACAGCAAAGGTGATGGATGGATGTGGTTATGTCAGTGATTGCATGACTCTGTTGCATTATTCGTGGAGCCCATCTTGCTGGAGTCTCTCCAGACAACAGACAGCAAAAAATTGAAGCTCTCAGTTACCCGGTTGCAAAGAACTGAATGCTATTGACTGCCACGTGAGTGGGCGAGGAAGCAGATCCTCCCACCCCACCCTCCGAAGGAAAGCCCAGCCGAAGCAGACAGCTTGACTGCAGCCTGTGGTACCTGAGGCAGAGGACCAGGCAAGCTGTGCCCCGTCTCCTGACCCACAGAAACCGATCATACGTGTGGATGGCTGACTGCTGTTTAGCCCGAGGGACTGTTGCTGCACAGCTATAGATAACACGGTTTCCTGATGTCAGCTGACCGCCCTCCTCCCTCAGGCCTACATTTTCACTACAGCCTCCCGGGGAAATGCCCAAGGCGAGTAGCAAGAGAGAAATAGCTGGTGGAAGGAGGGGCGCAGTAAAGGTTAGTCAGCCACTCAGCTTCTCCAGAACGAGAATGGGGCAGAGCACACCTTTCTGAGGCTGTGAGAACAGCCTTGTCCCGCCTTAGGATGACATTGAGCTCCAGGCCATGACTAACAGCTCTCCTGACCCCAGTCCACATGGGCTCATCTCTGTCTGCTCCCCAACAGAGAACTAAGGACCCAAAACTACTCAATCCAGGACAGGCGACCATGTAACACTCATCCCCACCCTCCACTGCTGCCCCATGGCAGACACAACTAATCAGTTTTCCTTCCAACTGAGCCTGACACAAGTCTTAGATATCTCTCAACATAGCACCCCTGGCAGCCTCTTCTCGCAGATCAGAGTTGTCAGATGAGGTGAAATCTATTCACCATACCTCTCCTGGCACAACCCCTTCACAGAGGACCAGAGAAGATGGGACGTAAGGTTACCCAAGTCACTGATGACCCAAGACAAGAACCCAGGGTCAGTGCTCACAGCTTGGCAGCCTCAGTCAGACACCCCCCTCATTTCTGCCTCTGCTAAAATTGTTCTCCCTTTTCAGAGGTCTTCTCTCTGATATATTCGTCCTTCCAAGTTTGTCCTATTCTTTAAGTACCACACTAGTTCCACCACCTTCATGAAGCCTTCTCAAATTGCCTCAACCCACACGGGTCTCTTTTGGCTTCTCTTCTGTGCCAGACCTAGTTCCAGGCACTGGGGGCACAGACGTGGGTAAGATGGTGATGCTTCAACAAGCCTCGCCCTCCTGCTAGGTGGTCATCTCTCCTAGGACAGAGACTCTCTCCTTCCCAGTCCCCACTCTCCCCCCTGGAGTCTGGCCCAGGGCAGGTGTGCACTGATTTGTGAGATGGGATGGTAGGTGTCCTTGGGCCACAGGGTAGTCTGGGCTGGGGATGCAGCTCAGAGGCCGAGAGAAGAAGGAGCAGCCTCACACCAGTGTCCCTTTTGCTTGACCTGGGCCAGGTACTCTCACGCTGGCCAGGGCCCAGCTCACGGAGGCTTTACCTCAACTGCAGCCCAGCTGCTGCCAAATTCCTGGGGGTTAGTTAACTCCAAGTTCTCCGGGGTCCTCATCTCATTGATGGTTTTTAAGTCAAAGTTCCCACAGAGCCCCGCCAGCTGGCCCTGGAAGAAGAGAGGACCCATGTCAGTTGCAGGCTTGCCAGGGGTGAACCATGGGCAGAGGGGGTTGCCATGAGCCCAGGAATCTGTCATGAACGCAGAAGCAACTACTGAGGTCCCAGGATGAAGAGGATGAAGAGGAGTAGGCGAAGGGTCAGAGAAGAAGGGGTGGGGAGGACAGGACAGAAGGCATGCGGCTGCTGGCTCCCCCGTGAGGGTACAGCTCACCCACGGACACCCAGGGGCTCGGCTCAGCCCCAGGCAGGAGCAGATGGCTCCTGGAGGGTCACTCGTCGTGTGACTACCTGCCACTGCGGCCCAGCCTGGATGTGCACTGTGGTCCTCTGGTCCCAGAGGAGGGTGACGTGCTCCCGCGGGAAGTGGACCAGCGTGAAGAACCCTGCTTGCCACGTGTGGACCTCTTGCTTCTCGTCCAGGAAGCTCTCAGGACTCTGAGGCGACAGAGATGGTCATTCCTGAGGCCACAGGGTCCCCCAACACCTGGGGCAGCTGGGCCTGGCTACAGGTCACTGCCCAGCCCCAGGGCCTCACCAACTCCTACGCCTCCCTCCCACCTTGACGTTGACCTCTGTGTTCCTGACCCTGGCCAAGGTCAGGAACAAGCTGAGCTGCTGATTCCAGGGCTCCCAGAGAAATTGCTGCGGTAAAGAAACTAGTCCTTAGCCCTCTTCCGCCCTCAGCCCCTCTTAACCTGCCAAGTGACCCCACCACCTGCACCTGCACCGGGCCTTACGGGATTTCCCGAGTCGTCATCAAAGATGATGAGTGAGTTCCCAACGTTGATGGAAATAAATTTCCTGCAGATGATGCCAGAGCTGTAGCAGTTTACATTTTCTACAATCACAGAGAAGCTGAAATTTGATGTGCTCTGAGGAGAAAACAAATTAGTTTAGTGAAACCAGCGAGAGAAGAGGTCTGCTGAGAGGCACAGGGGTAGCGGGACACGAACTCTGAAGTGGCTTTCAACTCACTTCTACTTCTTATTAGCTGTGTGACTCTGGGCAACCTACTTCAGTTTTCTGAAGCTCAGTGTCCTTTTGGGGAGAGGGCACCTAATGCAGTGTTTAGCACGTAGTGACTCTCCAAGAAGTATCTGATGAGTGAATGGATGAATGAATGGATGGATGGATGAATGAATGAATAATAGGAGGACAGGCGAGTGGGGGAAGGGACACTGTCTCACATATAGTGATAATGGTAGGTGGCAGTGTAAGCCTTTCTGGAGGGCAATTTACAGGCATTAAGCAATATTTTACATGTACATACTTCTTATAGCAATTTCACTTCTAAAAGTCTACGGATACTTTCACAAAAGTACTCATTATGCATTTAAATATTGGCAACAGCCTAAAAATCCACCAATGAGGGAATAATAAAACAAACTAGAGCAGTGGTTCTCAACCTTCTGGCCCTTTAAATACAGTTCCTCATGTTGAGAACCGCTGAACTAGAGCATGTCTTCTCTGCAGAATTCAACAGGAAGAAGAAAGAAAAAAGTGTGCATTGACTAGAGATAATGTTCAATGTATACTGTTAAGTGGGAAAAAAAGCAAATTGTAGAAACTTATCCATATAAATGAAACAAAGTGTGTATATGTGGGTGTGTGTGATGAAAAATGATCTTGCAGGATTCATACCTGTTAGGAACAGGGAATGAGAACAGAAAATATATGAGGAAGAATATTTGTTTTTAATATGTGCTATTCTATTATTTTAAATCTTAGTGAAGGGCATATATTAGCTTTGAAATTTCAAAAATAAAATGGGGACTGTGGAGCTTTGAAATTATGTGCCCCATAGATAGGACTCATTCCATAAAAGGTTTATTATTATTACACTAGAGGCCCAGGGCACAACATTCGTGTGCAGGTATGGTCCCTAGGCCTGGCCTGTGATCAGGGCCATCTTCCCCGGCTGCCGGCAGCTGGCCCCGCCCCCACCGCCACCCACCCCCGGTTCCCTGTTTGCCATTGGGGGATCGGAGTCTGCCAGTCACGGGGAGGGACCAAGAGGTGGTCAGTGCGCCTCATAGCTACTGGTCGAGCGGTTGTTCCGCTGTTTGGTCGATTTGCATATTACTCTTTTATATAGAGAGATAATGAAATAGACTGGCCCTTAGCAAAACCAAGGTCCCTGCATGTCTCTGGCACCCTCCCACCTACCCTGCTGGTACCCTTTCCTCCTGCTGGAGGGGATCCTGCTTCTACTGTGCCCTGCTCCATCGCCATGCCTCCTCCTCCATGTGACTCCCCCATCGCCATGCCTCTTCCTCCACGTGACTCCTTAAGCACCAACTCTCCAGTCGGACTTCTTAGTTCAAACCTGACCCAGCTCTGCCACTGCCTTTCGAAGCCCCAGTTGTTACATCTACTAGTATAACATGGGGTCAATAACTACCTCGTAGGGCTGCTGTCAGAATGAAGTAAAATAATCCACAAACAGTGCTCAGTCGACCACCAGGCACATAACAAAAGCTCAAAAGGCACTAGCTCTTACTATAGACAGAAGAACATAGGGACCCAAGGTTATAATGGTGAGTGAACAGGCAGTGGAGCATTTTAGGACTGGTGAGCTCTGCCCAGCCTCTGGCTTGCTCCTTGACATTTCCTTCCATCTCTGGATAGTCGCACCCCAGGGCTTAGATCCCCCAACCACCCAATTAGCGTCACACTGGAGTCCAGAGCATCACCAGGCTCTGACAGGTCTTCAGCCTCAGCTACCCTGGGTCCTCATGGAGCCAGCCGGGCAGACACGTCCAGGGGCTCACCTTGACCAGGTGCACCTTGCATGCGCCCACGAAGTCAAACGGGAGCCCGTCAAACGTGCGGTAATGCCGGTCGCCATAGGCCGTGCAGGTGGCGGCACAGGGATGGAGGGCACACTGGAAGGAGCCTTGCTGGCACACGCTGAAACACATGCACCCGGACCAGCTGGCGGGGTACCCCCACCCCCCGAATATCCTTGACGGAGACATTGCCTACTGAGCTCTCACTGTGTGCTCCTGGGCCGGGGACCAACAAACATCATCAGCCTCCCACAGAAGCCTGGAGGGTGGGATTGTGGGTCCCTTTATGTAGAAGACACCACCCTTGGAGCACACAGCCTGTGCACACTCCATGTGCACACACTCATTAGGGTGAGAGGAAACCCTGAGTCTAGGAGATGCTCCTCAGCCTACAAGAAACAGAGTTCAGGAGAGCTGAGGGGCTGGGAAGGGCTCGTACAGAACACACTCATATCTGAAACATGAGACCAGGGGTCAGTGCCCCCGGCCTGACCCAAAGCTACTTTACCCAGGTCTTGTACCCAGCCTGACCCAAAGCCACTGTACCCTGACCCAAAGCCACCGTACCCAGGGTCTTGTACCCAGCCTATCCCAAAGCCACCGTACCCAGGGTCTTGTACCAAGCCTGACCTAAAGTCACTGTACCCAGGGTCTTGCATCCAGCCTGACCCAAAGCCACTGTACCCAGGGTCTATTCCCAGCCTGACCCAAAGCCACTGTACCCAGGGTCTATTCCCAGCCTGACCCAAAGTCACTGTACCCAGGGTCTTGTACCCAGCCTGACCCCTTTGGACAGTCACTGGAATGCGTTGTGGGACTAGGACAGGACATGGGTTCCACTGGGTGGGAGGCCCCATTGGAATGAGCTGAGGCATCCTGGTCCTATCTCCTTCCCCTCCCCATCTTAGCCCCACTGCTCTAGCTGATATGCTTTGGTCATTGGCCAGAGAGTGGCAGGAGCCAGGGATTCGGGGCCCCTGAGCTGGCCCCTGGCCCCTGGGTCGTGGCAGGGCTGCCTCCATCCTGCAGATACACCGAAGGCTGGAGGAGCATCAGGACTCCCGGAGCCCTGGCAAGCCCCGGCTGGAACCTCTGAGGCACCTGGCAGAGGTGGCTGCAGTAGAAGCTGCCCAGCCTGTTGAGAGGCCTCATTGGTTGTGAGAATGCATATGCTCACATATATATATATATATATATATATATATATATATATATATATATATAAACATACCTGTTTACATATACAAATCCATAATTGTATATATTCACTAACATATTCAAGTTTATGAATGCCCACCTATTCATATACTAGTACATGCACTTGCATATACATTCATGTATACACTCTATGGGTTTTGGATTTCTGCCCACCTTATGCATTTATATAAATATGCAAACACATCATCAAGTTTACAAATACGCGTGTATACATTTATATACATGTCTGAACAAATCACATTCATGTAAATACTCACAAAAACACCCCTAAAATTCTTTCTATGCATACACTGGTATATGGAGGCAAAAGCCCTACAACATGAATATGGAAGGGGCATGCTTGATTGTGTTCATGATCCTGCATCCCATATCTACCCACCCCACCCCCAGATAAAGCTAGAGTCTGGATGGGGCCCTCACTCACCAGGTATGGCAAGGAGACATGACCTGGTCCCCAGGGAAATACTCCTTCCCCTTCCAGGTGCATGGGCACTCCTCCGGCAGGAAACATGCATCCCCGTGTCTGAGGAGGCTGCGGGGACACAGGAAGCAGGTGGTCAGGAGGCGCCCTTCCCACTGCTGCCATCTGGGGAGGACCCCGTAACCACATGGGCATCCAGGGTGGCTCTCGGCATTTACCCTAGAAGAGACTGGCCATGTACCACTACCATCCTGCCCAGTGGGATTCAGAGGTACCTTGGTAACTGGAAAAACCAGATACAGAGTTGGCCCAGCTCTGCCATTCATCAGGAAGCAAGGCTACGCCCTACCAGCCACATCCCCCAACCAGGCTAGATGCCATTTGCCCCTCAGCACCAGCTGTAGACTAATAAACAGACCACGTTCCTCATGGAACACCCAGTAGACCTGCAGTAAAAGGAATGTTAAGTGGAGTTTTTCAGGAAGATGGAAACGCAGCTCCACGTGAAGGAATGAAAAGCTTAAAAAAATGGAAAATCTGTTGGTAAACATAAAAAATTATTTATTAATTTCTTTAAGAGATAACAGCATTGAGAGCAAGATTCGTGTCAATGAATTGTGGGGTTTATAACATATAAAAGTAAAATGTATGACAATAATAAGAATGAGAAGGAAATAAATGAAAGTACATTGTTGCAAATATTCTACATAAAGTGGAAAAATATTAATTTGTGGTAAACTGATAAATGAAAGATACATATAATCTCTAGAAACACTGCAAAAATGCCAAGATATATAGTTTAAAATTAATAAAGGAGATAAAATAGAATATTGGAAAATACTTAACTTAAAAGAAGGCAGAATAATAATAAAAAAAAGAACAATAGAACAGATAATAACTAGATGGTAGTATTGAATCTAGTCAAATTACATTAAATGCAAATGCATAAATCCTCCAATAAAAAGGGAGAAACTGTAACATCAGCTAAAAAAGCAACATCCAATTATATTCTGTTTACAAAAGACACAATTGAAATATAAAAGCACAGATAAGGTAAAAGTAAATGGTGGGGGAAATACCAGTCATAAGAAAGACGGAATGGCTATATTAACATCAGACAAAGTAGACTTCAAGACAAGTGACATTAACAGTAATAAAGAGGGCTATTTCATGACAATAAAAGAGTCAATTTATCAAGAGACCATAACAATCCTCAATGGCATGCACTAAGTAACAAAGCCTAAAAAACAAACAAACAAAACAGAAGAAAAACTCACAGAACTAACAGGTGAAAGAGACAAATCTATAATTATAGTTAGTGATTCCAACACTCCACTCCATTGATGCTAGAACAAATAGGCAAAAAGAATCATCAGAGATGTAAAAGATTTGAACAGGTCTAACAATGCTCTTTACCTAATTGACAATTAAAGAACTCTCTATACAATAATAGCAGAATGCACATTGCTTTCAAGCACACATGGAAAGCTCACCAAGATAACTATATTCTATACCATAAAAAAATTTCAAAGACTTGAAATCATACAAAGAATATTTTCTAACCACCATGAAATTAAATTAGAAACCAGGAATGAACAGATATAAGGAAACCTCCAAATATTCCAAAATTTAGTAGCATTTCTAAATGAGCCATGAATCAAAGAGGAAATTAGAAAATATTACCAAAAAAATAAAAACACATTGTATCACAATTAGTAGAGTGTAGCTAAAGCCGCGCTTACAGGGAAATTTTTAGCTTTAAATACTTATATTAGAAAATAAGAAGGAATTGCAATAAAATGTCTAAATTAGAAAATAAACCCAAATTAAATTCAAAGTAAGTAATAAGAAGGAAATAATAGAGATAAGAGCAGAATTAAAATAGAAAACATAAAATCAATAAAACCAGAAGTTGGTTCTTGGACAAGATCAATAAAATTGGCAATGCTCTGGTTAGACTGGATAGTAAAAAACAAATCTATATATATAAAAGCCTAGTTCAACTGGCCGGCTGGTAGCTATCATGCGCAATGACCACCAGGGGGCAGACACTCCAACTGGTAGCTATGACGTGCACTGACCATCAGGGGACAGATGCTCAACACAGGAGCTGCTGAGCTGCTGTGACTTGGCAGCTGTGGTTCTTGGGTGACACACCCAGAACCAGAGAGGAGGGAGCCAGATTCCAGGATGTGTCACCCAGGAACTGCCCTCTCTCAATCTGGGACCCTTCGGGGGATGTGGAAGAGCCAGTGTCAGCCTGATCCCCATAGGCCAGGCTGAGGGACTCCATTGATGCACAAATCCGTGCACCGGGCCTCTAGTAAATAAATAAAATCTTCAATATCAGGAACAAAGAGGAGACAGCACTGCATACCCTACAGATATTAAAAGGAAAACAAAGCAATATTTATACAGTATCAAGCCAATAAAGTTGACAACTTAGATGCAATGCACAATAAAAACATCAAATGCTTATGAATAAATTCAGTAACAAATGTGCAAAAACCTTTATGTGAAAACTGAAGCATGGCTGAGAGAGATGAAAGAAGACTCCACAGATGAACTGATAAGGCCATGTTTGTGCACCGGAAGACTCACGAGTGTGACGGCGCCAGTTCTCCCCAAATTGATCTACAGATTGAACAAAATCCCAGAGACTCTTTGGAAGAAATCAACAAGCTGATCCCAAATTTACATGGAAATGCAAAGACCTAGAAGGGCCAAAAAGACTTTGAAAAGCAACAAAGTTGGAACACTATCACTTTCTGATTTTAAGACTTCCTATAAAGCTTTAGAAATCAAGACAGTGTGATATAGTCCTAAAGACAGAAAAATAGATCAATGAAACCAAACAGAGAGTCCTGAAATAGACCCACATTTCTAAAGTCAATTGATTTTTTTTTTTTACAAAGGTGCCAAAACAATTCAATAAGGAGAGGAAAGTCTTATTTTTTAAAAAATGAGGCTAGAACCAGTAGATAGCCATCAGAGAAAAAAATAAAATAAAACTTGACTCCATTTTGCAACATATACAAATATAATAATTTTAGATAGCTTGTAGACCCAAATGTAAAAGCTAAAATTGTAAAGCTCCTAGAAGGAAACACAGGAGAATATCTTTGCAACCTTGGAGTTGGCAGAGATTTCTTAGGACACAGACAGCACTAATCCTAAAGAAGGAAATGACCAATTACTAGACATCACCACAATTTAGAACTTCTGCTCATCAGAAGTCTTTAGACATATGAAACACATTACCTAAATGAACAGGCAAACCACAGACTGGAAGAAAACATTTGCAATTCATATGTCAGACAAAGGGCTTCCATCCAGGATATATAAAGAGCTTGCACAACTCAATTTTAAATATTGACCCAATGAAAAATAGGCAAAAGACTTGCACGGACACTTCGCAAAGGAAGCTGTACAAAAAGCATGTGAAAAAGGACTCATCGTTAGTCATTAGGGAAATACAAATTAAAACTGTAGTGAGCTAGGACTATGTTCTCACTGAAATGACAAAAAATAAAAAGTCAGAAAACACCAAGCGTTAGTGAGAAGGTGCTGCGACCAGCCCACTCCCGCGGTGAGAGTGTACGATTGTACCAGCGCCTTGGAAAATTATTTGGAAGTTTCTCATCTGGTTACACAGAAATCCACCCTGGGGTCCAATTCCATGCCAACCTGCTCACCCAAGAGAAAGACAGAGCAGCCTTATTCAAAGTAACCCCAAACTGGAAGCAACCCAAACAGCCATCAGCATTTGAGTGGATAAGTGAATTACTGTATATTCACACAATGGAATACTGCTGAGCAATAAACAGAAACGAACCACTGGAAAGTGTAGCCCTGTGGATCAACCTCGAAAACATATGCTAAGGAAAGGAAGACCGATGTCATACTGTCTGAGTCCATGGCCCTGAACATCCAGAACAGCCAGAGGCCGTCTATGCTGAAAGGAAGGCCCTGGTGAAGTGGGTGAGAGGAACCACCTGGGGAAAGGCATAGGGCAGGAGGGAATTTTTTAAAGTGACAGAAGTTGCTATATTTTGAGAGGGGTGTGGGTTACAAGAGGATATAGATTTGTCAAAGCTTAGCACAACTGCATACTCAGAATCTGTGCATTTTATTACATATAAATTATGCCTAAGTCTTTAAAAATTAAAAGGGAAAAAAACACAGTGAGGCACCAAAGGCTGACTGGAACCTCCATATTTAAGGGGGACCCACCATTTTCTTGGGAATCCCCCAAATGCCAGTTTCTGTTGTTTGTTTTCTTTAGCCCCAGCCAATTATATAGAGAAGAATTCTCTTTCATCTCTGGCTTGGAGGCTAAAGCTTTGATGCCACCGACCTGGGAACCAGGCTGGAGAAGAGGGTGGGGACCCAGTAGGTTTTCCTTCCATCTCCCAGTTTTCACTCCATCTCTCATCCCTCCTTGTCCCCCTAAGATCGAAGCCTCGGATTTGGTTTCTCTAGAAACGCTTACCACCTCTCTCCTGCTGGGTGGCACTAGGGCAGTTTCAGGACCCCCCCTGAGGGGGGGAGGGAGGTGGCCAGTGGTCTAACTGCTCCTGACACGACTTGCGACTCGTCTGCCTGTCTCCCTGCCCCCACCCACCTTCTGGGATTCCCGGAGTCTCCTGTCCTAGAGCTGTCAGCAGGAAGTAGGTTGCTCTCCTGGCTGCCCAGGCATCAGCTGCCAACCTCTGCTCACAAGGTCAGTTTCCACACACCCAGCTCATTCCTCCTTCAGAAACGATGGACCCATCTTGTCCACTGTCACCCCACTGCTGTTCTCCTTGTCGCTGGGGATGTACACTTTATTTACTCCATCACCAGCATGTCATTGCGATTGTGGGAGGAAGCAGGGGGAAAGGCTTGCGCTTCATCCATTACGCTTTCCTTGAAGCCACCTTTCTAAACCTCTATATTTTTATGTGTAAAAGGAAAATAATGACACCTTCCTCTCAAGGTCATTATGAGAATCTAATTACAGAGCTGGGCACACTGCCTAGCACCGGGTACAGACACAGTAACATTGTTTTCCTGCCCCTCCTCTCCCCATAATTGCATCAGACACCAGCAGTGGGCTGGCTCATTGCCTTCCACCTCCAGCCCCAGGCCCGGGCTCTAGACGCTTCCTCAGAAGTCTTCCCTCCACCCACCATCCATCGCTCCCTCCGGCCCTCTGCAGGCCTGCCTACGTCCCTGAGCACCTGCTTTACGCCCACCACAGAGAGGAGTGAGAAAAGGCTTGGAGCTGTGGCCTCTGTCCTCCAGGTGCCCTCGATCTGTGGAACGCCCTTTCCTCAACTGTTAAAGGACCTTCTAGTTCCAAGGCCCCCTCGGGGTGCAATTGCAAATGCATGGGATCCAAATGAAAGAAGACAACGCCGTCTGCTCACATGAGTGCCTACTTGGTGCCACTGTAAGATGAGGAGCCTGAGGTTCAGGGGCTAACTCACCAGGAGGTGGTGAGATAGTACATCACCGCTGTGCTAGACTGCCTAGCGCCCAGGTCCCTTGCAGTGACACCGCCAGCCTCCGTGGCCCCTGCAGCGGCCAGGTCCTTTGCAGCAATTCACGGCATCCTGAGGTTCTTAGAAACACTATGGGGAGAGGCATGGGAGCCAAGGGGGGCCCAGAGGGTCCCCAAGAGAACGAGTCTTCATGGAGCACCGCTGAGCAGTGCCAGCTCCTTGCAGCTCTGTCTCATTTAAACCTCATGATAACCCTGCAGGGTGGGTGCTACTGCCCTCAATTCCCAGAGGAGCAAACCCAGGCTCAGAAAAACCAAGTGATGTCACATAATGAATGACAAACATGAAGCCCTCAGACTGCGGTGTTCTTGGCACAGCGCCGGGACCTGGATTGACCTGTGAGAGGCTGGGGCAGGGGAGGAGGATTTGGGTCCTGCCCGCTCAGACGGGTCCTGCCAACAGCCAGCTGGGCCTTACAGACAAGAAAACGGATGCCCAAGTGGCCAGGTAACCTGTCCAAGGTCACCCAGCCCATTGGAAACCTTCCCATCCTCTCCTCCCCTTCGGAGCCTGGGAGTGAAAAGGGAACCCCACTCTGGCTTCTGAGCTCTTCCGGGTTAAATGAGTCCCGAGCGTTGGACAGGGCGTTAGACCCTTGATGCTCAAAGCGAGGTCCCCAGACCAGCAGCACAGGGTCTCCGGGGAGCTGGTTGGGAATGCAGAGTCTCTGGTGGAGATCCGTGAGCACATTAATATTTGAGGAGCACATACATCCCTGGAGAACCCCAAAGCTCCTTCACGAGAGGGGTCTCGCTGAATCCTCCATTCCCCAGTCCCCTCCGGGAGGGAGCCCTCAACCCTCAATTTACAGACGAGGATCTGTTGAGAGAGGTCACGTGATGAGTCACTGGCAGAACCCAGCCAAGTCTCCCATTCCAGTCCACCCCTCCCAGTTCCACCTTCCCTCTGCGGCCTTCCCACCGTGCTGGGCAGTGACTGGCCCTCCGCTCCTGACCCCAGAGGCCCTGGCTCTCCCTGTCCGGTGCACACAGGCCAGTGCCACAGAGGCCTTCAGTGACAGACACCCTTCGCAAGCTCCTCTGGGGCCTGGCAGCAGGTGGCAGTCGGCCTAGGACCCTGTGCAGGTTCTTGAGACCTCACGGGGCTTCTTGTGGATGCCCTTGCCTAGGAAGGGGCGGGCTCATCACCCACATTGTGACCTCTATGTAGGGGACCAGGCCTTGGGCTTCGTGGAGCCACCACGCTCTAACCAGTGGGCAAGCTTTAGAGTAAGCACCGTAGGCTTTGAGTCATGGCTGCCAGGGAAGACCATTTCCCTCCATCCTGCCCCAGCCTCAGTTTTTTCATCTGCAAAATGGGAATAATGATCCTTCCCTTTCTTTGAGGGATGCTCTGAGATTGAATGGGATGGTAATATCGAAGTGTTTCATAACCAGTAAAGCTCCAAATGACCTCCTCTTCCCTTTCCCACCCTAGAAGTCCTGATCCCCCCACCCACTCACTTCCCTTGGCTGCCAGGCCTGGCTCACGACTCCCAGCTGACCACTGACCACTGCACAGGCTGAAGGACACAGCCCTGCAACGCCAAGTCACGGCACCATCTGTCTTCTCAGCCCAGACCTGGAGCAAGACCAGCATCAGGAATGAGAACTGGCAGAGCTGGGTACAGGGCCTCTGCAGCCACCTGTGTACAGAGCACCCACGGGCAACCCACGAAACCCACTTCGTATGGATCTCACAGCTTTCATGCCACCTGAGGGACACTGGGTGGGCCTTGCTTTTGCGAGGATTATAGGGGCACCAGGCTGTCACCAGAGGGCTCTGTTCAGACCTCTGTTCAGGGATAGAGGTTGGGAGCTGAAACAAGGGTTTACTCTCTCACGGCCTTGAACCCACTGGATCTCTAGAGCCTGCCACACCCCTCTCAGCGCTTCAACTTCAGTACCTTGTTTCATCCTCACAACAACCTGCTGCGGCGCTAGGTATTACTATTATTCCCATTTCACAGATGTAAAACTGAGCCTCGGAGAGGCCAGGCCCCTTCCTTACCCAAGGTTGCCTGTTGGTAATAAGCAGGGACAGGTACACTCCACCCCACAGGCTCCTGCTCTCTCTCAGGCTCCTCACTGGCCATTATGTTGTCACAGGCCAGCCCTGGGCTAGTGTTGGCCTGCAAGGCTGTGTGAGGTTTTCCCGGATCCTCATTCCACCTCGTGGTCGCAGAGTGGGAGACCATGGCAACGTAGGTACCTACCCTTGGGGACAGGCGCAGCCTGAGAGGCAGGGGCCCCGGGCTGGCACGCTCAGGTTCAGCAGCTGCTGCTCACACGTCCTCTCTCTGCTCAGCTCGGGGTCGGTGTGCAGGTCGCTGCAGTTCACGAAGACCTGTCCGGCTGGGCAGGCAGCGGCTGAAAGAGGAGAGGGTGGGTGCTGGGAGGAGCACGGGTTCTTGGCAAGATGCTTGGAACACCCGGGCCTGGGGGTGGGCTCCTGGGCAGCAGGGTTGGCCAGGGAGATGAGGGGACCCAGCATCTGGGAGACGCAGGGGGAGATGGGGCCCTGATGCTTTTTGGTGCCCTGGTTGCTTCTGGACGTTCCTTGGGTTCCCATGTGCACATCCCACGTGGAGAGGAGGGATGTGTGGTGTCCCAGAGCAGGACAACCTCCTCAGCTACCAGCCCCAGCTACCGAGCACGTCCTCCCACCAGGCACTGCTCCCCGACTTCACATGCGTTTTCTTATTTACTCCTCTAACAGCTCTGTGAGGTATTCTTTCCTTCATGTCCCCATATAATGTAGAGAAACCACTTCTGCTTGCAAAAGGCAGGATAGAGAGGAAGTGCCCAGAGGGACGAGGAGAGGAGCCAAAAATAGGGTAGCCGTGCAGTGAGGCGGGGTGGCCAGAGGGCTTTTAAAAACAGGAAGTCAGTTACCATTACCCGTATTTCTGTGACATAAACACTCTCTCTCTCTCTCTCTCTCTCTCTCTCTCACCAGGTTTTCAGTGAAGTTGGCTGTGCACACTCACACTTGTGTGCATGATCTTCAGGAAAATCAGTAAAAGGGAGCTGAGTTTTACGCCCAGCCTGGGATGGAGCAGAGAGAAAGGAATAGCCACAAGAGATGAAATGAAAGTTCCAAAGAGGCAGAAACCCAAAGCCAGAAGTGATCAAAGGAGAACACTTTCAGGAATACACATGGAACATGGGGGAACACAGAAGTCTAGGTTACTTACAAAAAAGTTAACAAAAGCTCAGAGAGGTGAAGTGAGTTACCAGGGACTGCACAGCTAGTGAGTGCTGGGCAGGATCTGAACCCAGGCTGCCTGACTCTGGAGGCCCTGCTCTTGGCCACCTGCCATACGATTAGTCTCTGGTCCCCTCTGTGCTGATCTCCACCCTCAGGGGCCTCCTCTGCCCCAGGAGACCCTCCCTGAAGACCCCAGTCTCCGTTCTACCATCTCTAAGCCCCTCACAGGCTGACCCACCGCCGGGCCACCTCACCCTCATCTCTATGGCCTGGGAATGTCTCAAAGGCCCAGGCTGTCGTCCCCATCTCTGTGACCCCCACGTCCAGCACCCGACTGGGCAGAGTCTGCCCCAGTAGACACGTGATGGCTCAGGCCCAGGAAATCCAGGACCCAGGGGAAGTCCAGGGACTGTCCAGACCCCAGCTGGCCCCCCTAAGAGAGACTGTCTCGGGCTCTCGTTAGAGAAGCAGGAAGGACGGGCGCAGGGTGGGGCTGAGGCTGGGACAGGATTTCTGGACACCACCCTCCAAGCTGGAGTCTTTCCCGAGAGGGCAGGGAATACAGAAGGCTCGGTGTAGGGCAAGATTGGGGGTGGCCGCTCCCCATCCCAATCTATTTTTGAGCTCCCCACTCTCCTCTCTATAACCCCACTACATGGAAGAGGCCCCTCCCTTCCAGTCCCCGTACCTGGGGCTCTGCTGTCACAGCTCATGACCCCATCTTTGCAGTGGCTGGAGAGAGAGAGAGAGAGAGAGAGAGATGCTGGTCAGCTGACCCAGTCACTGCACAGCCCAGACACCAAAGCCCCGTCACTGCAGGACCCAGAGACCCTGAGTCACTGCACCCAGATCCCTGGGCTCAGACAGATACCCCCGCTGCCTGTCCCTGGCTCCTGTGCAGAGGTGGGTGCCATCCATGGGACGTCCTGCTCAGATGCGCTCTCTTCAGTTAGCAACTTCCACTTACAGAGAAGACAGCAGCACTGCTGCACAGGGAGCTCACCAGTGGCCCAGAGACGGGATGTCGCTGTCCCCCGGGGGATAGTCCACTCCTTGGAAGTGGCAGGAGCACTGGTTCCTATAAAACCCAGGAGAACAGTGAGCGGACACAGGGGCCGAGGCAGGGAATGCCAAGGACAGGGACTCACCCCTCTGCCAGCCAGGGGCATCGGGACATCTAATGGCATCTACTGTGACATGTGGCACATCTCCCGGGAGTGAGGAAGCCAGCCTGGCACCAGGGACGGAGGTCAGGGATGGGCCCCAGACTCAAGGTCTCCGTACTCTCCCAACGCCAATCTCTTTTGGATGAAAAATCAAGGCCACGCTGCCTGAGCCCATGCCGTGTCAGGGACAGGGCCATAGTCTTGTATTGGTCATTCACACCCAGCATCTGTTCTAATTGCTGTGGAGTACCATATAGGTTGTCACATATTTTGAGCACCAGGCAAGGCCCTCATGTCATCAGCTCCTCACAATGGACCCTGTCAGGCAAGGATCCTTGTGCTGTCTGCCAGTTCCTCACTGTAGGTCATCTGAGGGCAAAGACTGTTTCCTCCTCACATGCCTCCCACAGCACCTGTGGGCTATAGCCAAGGGCAGGCCTTGGAGCAGAGCCGTTGGGGCTGGAAGGGAAGTCTGAACTCATCCCACCCCCAGGTTTCTCAGTCACTTTCTCCTTCTCCGGTCGCTTCCCCTCCCCCATATAACCTACAGAGGTTCCCCTCATTGGCAATACTCAACATCGGGGGTGGAGGGACTGGATCTCCGGGGAGGATTCTGGAGTTTAAAAAGGCCTGAGTGATTCTGATATTACCCCCAAAAGAGGCCTCTCTTCAGCCCCCAACTCAGTCGAATATGAAACCATTTTACAGATGGAGAAATGGCTGGTGATCAAGGGCCTTGCCTGTCAACCCCAGGATCCTGGGAGGGTTCCACTTCCCATCATGCCTTCCAGCCACACTGAGACCAGGCCTACAGCGGCCTCAGGGCCGTCCCATCCCCTCTGCTTGGAGCGCTCTTCCCTTACTTCCCGCAGGTCTCTCCCAAAGTTACCTCATCGGAAAGGCCTTCCTTCCATGCTCCTCTCAGGTGACATAACGGTGACCCTCCCCACCCCAAGCACTCCTATTCTCACTCTACTCTGTAGCTCTGATCACCACCAGACCCATAAGTGTCTGTCTGTCTGTTACGCACCCCACCACCTAGAATGGGAGCTCCATGAGGACAGCATTCTGTTTGTTCACTGCTGAATTCCCTGGACCTAGAAATGCCAGGACCACACTAGGGGGTCAATAAATATTTGTGGACAGAGAGACCCTCTTGGCTCTGTGGGGTGGTTCTGTCTTATAGTCCTCCTGATGAGGAGAACTGAGAACCAGAGAAGTTAAGACACTCACCCAAGGTCACACAGCAGGTCAAGGTCGGAGTTGGGATTTAAACCCAGTGTGACTCCAGGGTCCCACTGCCTGTGGGGTAGCTCTGTCTCTGTGGAGTGAGCTGAGGAGGGAGCCCGCCCATCCACCCACCTTGCCCACCCAGATCTTCCCTATGACTGTGAGATGAAGGAGGGACAACAGAGGCCCAGGCAGGCTCCCTAGTCTCAGGTGCCCTGGAGACCCCAGCCTCCTCCCCGACTGACAGAGGTCAAGCTGACCTGCTCACCTGGGAACACAGATGTCAGCCTGGGTGTCCAGATAGGTGTCCGGTGGGCAGGCACAGCCCTCCACACACTCGTCCTCGCTGAGGTCACCGCCACAGGCCTCAGGGCCAGCCAGGTCCTGGCAGGTTTGTCCACACAGGGCCACGCAGGGGCTGTACTCCTTGGTGGCCTCACAGGACAGTGCTGTATAGAAAATGGAACTGTCCCCACAACTGTGTAGTGTGGGGTCATTATCCTGATGAGGAGAACTGAGAACCAGAGAAGTTAAGACACTCACCCAAAGTCACACAGCAGGTTAGGTCAGAGTCGGGATTTAAACCCAGTCTGACTGCAGCGTCCCACTGCCTCCCACTACACCAGTATGGCAGGGCGGCAGGCTGGGCCCCACCTCCCGACTTCAGCCTGGGCCCTGCCATTGGTGTTTCTTGTTCTTTGCAGGGCATTCCTCTTAGGGAATGATATTGGGGGAGGAGTGGAAATCACTGGCCCCTGACACAGCCACATACCCGCCCCATCTCTCCCTCTCTCTCTCTCTCTCTCTCTCTCTCTCTCTCTCTCTCTCACACACACACACACACACACTCCTGCCCCTCACACACTCCTGCCCCTCTCATTTCTACACTTGTAACAACTTGGGCCGTGAAGATCAATTATGCAGACGTCTTCTCTTTACTTAATCTTCTCTTTACTTAATCTGGCCGCTGTCCCACTCCTCCGGTCAAGTAGATCCCCTGAGACTCCCGCTCAGTTGCTCTCACTGGAGTTGCTCTCACGGGGCTGCGCACCAAAGCCACCTGGGAGTGTTTAAAGATGCTGATGCCAGCCCCTCCGCAGGGACATTGTTTTCATTGAACTGAATGTGGCCCAGAGAAGTGCATTTGAAAAAAGTTCCCACGGTGGAGTCTAATGTATCTAACGCTGAGAACCACTGGTCCTATTCAGTCACCCTCTAGAGAAACTTTTGGCTCACAGAGGGCATGGCATTGCCCAGGGACACACAGCAACTTAACCTGCTGGGCTGGGCTCAAGAACTCAGGCCTTCTGACTCCCAGTACTGGTTACTTATTCATTTATCCACAAAACATTTCCCTACGGCTTACAGAGTAGTGGGCCCCGGGCTGAAGTCTAGGGGCACCAGAAACAACTAAAAATATGGAAGTGTGTGGCCCGGGT